ACTGCAAAAATATTAACAACTTCAACAAGTTTCAGAATGAAAGCCACATCATTGAGTGACATTCACGATTGTTTTTCAGTTGAATAATAAAAATTGTGGAATTATATTTTAACAAAACTCTTAATAATTTTTTAAATTGAAGTATCGTTTTTCAATAAATGACCATTAAAATGATTTTTCTCGAATTGAAACAAGTTGTGAACTGTGCATTGTCCGTGCTTATGAAGAAGAACCAATAAAAACTCATAATTAAACCGAAATGTGATGTCCCGCAGTGTTATTGTATGAAAATCCTTTATTTGCCACGAACTGACAAAACAATATCCTCTTATATTTTTTAATATCATTGGACTATCCAAATTGAAAAATGATACCTTAACGAAATGTCACTACGTTATTACTGTGATATATTTCGATAATTTCTGACATGTCTTTTTTTCAGTTTAAACCCAATGTGGCAATTGAATTGTGTAGAACGAATCCTTTTGTTGTGCAACAATTCGTTACATAAAAAACATTAATTGAGTGCTATGTTGTGGACATCGCATTGTGATATTTCAACTATGAAGCGCATTGCAAAGTATATTAACATTGTCTACCATTTGATGTTTTGTGTTGTAACTCTGCGATTTAAAGTGTTTTTTTCTTCAATTTTTTAATGATGTCAAAAGGGTGAAAGCTGATAAATTCTGAGCGTTAGGAGAGGGTGTCCTTTTGTCAACAGAATTCTCTTATGTTATTGTGTTATTGCAATCAGCAGCAGTTTTACTTTGTTCGACTTACTTTTGACACAAAATTGGTTAAAGGCAGTCGTTGTAATGACTATTATGATGTATGATCAATTTTTTGTTACCCCACTTTTTATCAAAATTTTTAGTTTCCAGTTACCTTTTTTCCTCTTTGTGTCCAATTATGTTGGCATCATTTTTCATCGCAAATGAATTTGAAGCAAAAAGCCGCATTTACCAAATTTTGACTGTCATTGCTAAAATGACTTTTTCCCATTTTTTATTGGATTTCTCGTATGTCTGTTTTTGCAGTTTTAGCGGAAAACCAAAATTTGGCAAATACATTAAATCATGTCTGCACACTCATCCATATGTGTATTTTATACTCAGTTTATTTTTTTTAAACCGAAATATTTAGAATTCACAAATATTGGTTTGGATTTAAAAACTATCAATCAATGATTTTTCTTTTTGACGTTTTGTTCATCAATTTCTATTGTTGTATTTGCTCCATGAATATTCATAGTTTTAATGCAATTATTAGATAGTGTGTTTTAGTGAATTTAGACAATTGTTCGAATTTTTTGATGACTCATACAGCAAACAATAAAAAAGTAAATAGAATTACAATTTTTAAATATATCAGAAATATTTCTATTCAATATTAATATATACACAACTCCATATGTAAAATTAACCCCTTCCTTAACATAGAGGACGTGTGCGAGTTAGGATAAGTTGCGTTCTAAATGAGTTGATAAATGGCTAAATGTGTGCAGTGCAAAAAATCCCAAAAAATCTCCCATTTGGTTTAGCATCAACTTAGCCTAAGTCGCACACGTCCAGAATAATACACAACCAAGTTATATCAAACTACACCAGGTCAAACTTTGAAACTGCCTTTTTTAATTTCTTATAATACCTAGTTTTGACAAAAACTTGAATATGTCCAACGTGTTTCATCTATTTTAAAAAGTATTTTATTACATTTTCATTATGATATACATTATCATCTTAAACGTGGTTTTCATACTATATCCTTTGATCTATTCAACACCTTCGTTATTATGATTAAGACGGGATGTAGTACCGCACAGTGTATTCGTAAATTGACTTACAGTAAATTCAGTTAAAATCAGCATAACATTAAAATATAGAAAACATTCGGATATATAATAGCACAATGTCTAAAAACTCGCTTCTGCAATATACAAAGTGTATAACATCTCACCATTTTCAAAAACTAATTCATATCTGCATCTAAACTGTATGCAATACAATACAACTATATATCATCATAGTCCACAAACACTAATTACAGTATTATATCTAATATACTAACTAAAACTAATTTTCTCACATAAGATGGACCTAGATCTGCTGACCTTTAGTTAAAACAATCTTCTAACTCTATTTTTTATTATTATTATCCAAATCTGTATCCATAATATCTTTATATCATATTTCAAGCCTGCGATACACCTCATTTATTTTCCGTGATCTCCAGGTATCATATTCAAATGTCTTCTGTTCCATTTTCTCCTGAAGTTATAATTATATGGTCCAATCAACTGATTATAATGGTGTTAAGGTTTCATAAATCTTTTTATGAATCAGTTCATCTCATGATAATTGTGTTTTCTAAAAACAGCTATATATATTCTTATATATATATATGGAAATCTCAAACGGCTCTTCCTCTATCATTTCTAAAGTACTATTCCTATAAGTACCTAATTTAAGTATTTGTGTATACTGCATTTAATCTGATTATCAGATTCATCACATTAACAAAGAGTGGTTTGATTTGAACTGAGTCTTAGTTCTTAGTAAGTTCTCTTATAATATTCTTTGATACAAAGCTATTATAGCACTAATCTTTAGAATACAAGCTGGGACACAGCTTGTATTATAATTTAAATAAGGAAGTACTATAACAATTTCTTTCAAAAAAACGCTTAGATTAATTATACAAAACTTCTGGTTTGCGAGTAAAAATTGTATCTTTAAAGATCCTGATATTTCCTACATGAAATATGAAATTTCAAATTACATTTCAAAATGTTTTTAAGGATTGACAAACAATGTAAATGGATTCGTAAACGGATGACTTTGAAAGAAAATCAATCTTCATCGATAGTTTTAGAGTTTACATGTCGTAGATCTTCTTTTTAAAGAACGCTTATTTAATGATTATCACTGGACTGGACTTACTTGAGTACGGTAACTTGACAGAATTTTACATTTTTTTAAAATCTCTATTATTTTAGGTATATAAAAAGAAAGCACATAAAATGTTTAAAGAAAAATGTTTATACACTTACATATTTTAAGAACTTTTGAACTTATGTCT